GCAATATAACTCCTCTGCTTTGCAGGGGAGAAGGAAGAAAGAATAGCTTTTACTCTTCCAAGGTGACACTGATGAAGTCAGGCAATACCATAATTCCCAGAGAACAAAGGCCTAGGGCAGATACACCCTGTCCCAAAACTCAGAGGTGTACAGTGGCATCCCCCAGTTGCTGTCATCCATCAGACAGTTGTGATACAGTTGTGATAGCCCGTCTATGCCTGAGCTTGGTCATAGCTGTTAATATTGTTGTTATTGTTGGCACATTAAGTCATGTCCGACTCTGCGACCCTATAGACTATAGCCCACCAGGTCCTCTGTCCATGGGTTTCCCAGGCAAGAACAATGGGATGGGTTACCATTTCCTTCTCCAGGGGATCCCCCCTACCCAGGGATCAAACCTGCATCTCCTGCATTGATAAGCAGTTTCGTTACCACTGAGCCACCAGGGAAACCCAGCTGTTAATATTATCACCCCTTTAATTATGTGCATTGTTGGTTCTGCATGTGTGCTGTCAAGTTTCCATTTAAAATGTCTTCCAAATCTCAGTCAGATCAACATGGAAATGTAAAGTCAGTATGAATACTGAAAGGCACCAGAGCATAGAAGCATAGTGTTCATTTGCTGTTGGTGAAACAGCTATTTACATTGATATTTTCTTGGTAATCAACAAGCAAGTTCTTTCTGGGAGCTAACAAAAGGAGATAGATAGCATCTAGAAAATGTATTATGTTTTGTTTCTGAGATACCCTTGAAGAAAACATGGGCATTGATGACTCTGAATCAGAAGATGATCCAGATGAGTCAGGTTCTGAATATGAAATTTTTTAGAACTAGCTTAACCAAATTTTTTGCTCTATTTTCTTTTTAAGAAATAGTAATGAGTGGTTTTAAAAATTTGTCACTGTATGTGATAAGCAAGTAATGAATCATAGATTACTTGGTGGTTTTTGCATTTTTGGTTGTACATAAAATCAAGGTTAAAGGTTGCCCTCCAAAAAAAGTGATAAGCAACCTGACTGAACTTAGTAAGTAGACAAGGGACAAGAGATCGTGTTGGAATCAGAAACTCATGTGTAGAGGTGATACATATCAAGCACCTCATGCTCATCACAGAGTCTCAACTGTCCTCACCAGCATTTTGTCAGGTACCCTTCAGAACCAGGTAGGAACAGGAAACCTTGGGCTCTAAAAGAATGAGTCCAGTGATATCAGCCATGCCCACTCGGGCTATGACGAGAAACCACTTGGACATGATAACTTACTAAATCTACCATGTGGTATTCCTGGGCTAGGTGTTTCACGGGTTCTCTCTAATCATTGCAACAATCCTGAAAGATTTCCACTGGGGTTGGTACTGCCCTTTTAAAGACACTTTGCCAAAATATAACAAAAGATGTTAAAAACAGTTCTGCCCTTTGACTTGGTAATTCCATGTTTGAAAATTCATGCACATGAGATTGTTCATTTTCATTATGATGTTATTTATAATGAAAAGATGGAAGTGACTTAATGTCTAACTCTAGCAATAGAGTTCAGTAAATTAAGGGACATCCATATTTGGTGGAATATTATATAGTCTTTAAAACAATCACAAAGGTTATGGTATAATATGAGAAATGTTAATGCAGCCAATGAGAAAGTAATAAAATATATGCACTCTACAATTTCAAAGATACTTTAAAATGTTAGTGTTAACATTTTAAAGGAGAATAATGCAAAAATAAAAGTAGTTGTAATAACTTGATCATGGGTGAGTGTTTCCATTCTCTTTACAACAACAAGAAAAAACAAAAAACAAAAGAGAAGAAGTCAGTAATGGCCATAACTATTGAGGTATTATTGAGAATAAAAGTTGTTTTCAGAATGTAGGTAGATTTACCCAGTTACATACTTATTACTTTAAGATCTTAAGGAGTCTCTGGTTTTCTCTTTTTTCCCCTCTCTCCCTCTCCCTACTTGAAATTTGTAACCAGTATATTTGCAGAGCAAAAGTACAGTAGATTCAGGGATGCATTTGAGGCTATGTAAGCAAATGATGACAATGTAAAAGGTTATTTGCCCAAATTTGCATTCATACAAAACATGGCGTGCTGTGATTTCAGAATAAATGTGTTTTAAAATATTTTCTAAATACAGAGCTACTTCAGCCCTAAGTTGACTAAGAAACTACATTTCTATGATAAGCCATAATTACTCTTTGGAAAATTATTGGGCTTAAAAAAATACCTACCTCATGGTACCTGAAGAGTGAGTCTCACTTTGGCCCTTTCTACTTCTGCCTTCACTTCTAAGACTGCTTTTTCCTCTCTCTCATTGGTTTTTATTGCAAGACAAAGAGATATGGCATTAACACCTATTTAAAATTATAGAAAAAGAAATTTTTTTTCAGGTAAGAACCTATAGTCAAATTATATAAATTTCTGTGGATATTTATTTTTACCTTTCTCTGAGTTGTTTGAGTGTCTTTTTCTATATATTAGCTCATTTGTTTGCAATTTCAGTTCTGAAATTCTAATTAAAACTCAGGGTCATTTGCCACTTGCATGACAGTGTTGGTGGGAGCTGGGGAAGTTTATGAGATTTGGTTAAATATTATGGATTTGAGTTTTTCTCCCTTCTATGTGTTTGGCTGCGCTTCTGGACACATTAATAAGTGGCCATTTTTTTCTGGAATTCTGTACTCTTCCTGCTTCCTTTCATTACATTAGGCAAGGTTCCACTAGATGAGACATTTGCAGTCTTAAGACTTCCTGCCAGGGTTCAGACTTTGTATTTTTGACATTGAAGCTGTCGTGTTCCTGAAGCTACTTAATTAGAAACACATTCATTTCAGTGTACACTAGAGAAAGCTTGGACAGCAGAGCCAGGCACACTGGGAAGTTTGAGCATTTGTGTAGCTGGCAGCTAAACTAATGGTTTACAGTTTAAGGGAAAAAAATATCATAGGGCATTTCCTTGCCCCTAGAAGCAAAGGGAAGCTGAATGTGCACAGCAGATACCTTTTTTTTTTTAAAGGAGAGAAGAAGAAGAAAAAAGGAAAGAAAAGACAACTCCACTTTCACTGCAGTTGCGTGTCCAATTCTTTCTTTGGCTATTATCAAATACAAAAGTCTTCTAAAAGAATAGTTCCCAAACTGTGCTGCTAATATTCAAGTCTGTTTTACAGGCTCCCAAGATATATTACTGCTGAGATCTGTAGTAAGGAGAACATTTTATATTCTGAAGAAGGATTTTTGCTTGAAGAATTTTATTTGTTGAATGGTAATGAGGGAATTGTGCTCTTTCTTATTTTTAAATGTTTGAGCAATTTTAAAATGCACATCTGATGTTTTAAAAACCTTGGTTGCCTATCCATCGCTTTCAGGATAAAGCCTAAAGTCTTTAGCATTCAGGGGAAAGAAAACCTCCCCTTTTTTCATTTCTTACCACTCACTCCTTGTTTCCCTACCCTGTTCCCAAGAAAGCCACCTTCCTAGGTCCACTTTCTTGCCACCAGCTGCCCTGCAGGAAGGGTACCTGGTGACCTCAGACTGACAGGTATCTTTCCACTGGTCTCATAAAATATCCTTTGTACCTTTCCCAGGAGGTATCACATGTTGGAGAGACAGATGGAAAAGTTGTCAATCTCTCCCTTCATGTCTGCTCCCTCCACTACTCCCAGGAAAAACACTGTGTGGGAGGTGGGACTGGGAATTGTCAGTCCAGTATTACAGAGTCAAAGTGCCATAGAGGAAGAAGCTTTGGAGTCAAGCCCTAGGGTTGCCACTTGTTCTCTGGCATAGTTGTTGCTCAGTTGTGTCTGACTCTTTGTGACCCCATGAACTGCACCACACCAAGCTTCTCTGTCCTTCAGTATCTCCCTGAGTTTGCTCAAACTCATGTCCATTGAGTCAGTGACACCATCCAGCTGTCTCATCCTCTGTCACCCCCTTCTCCTCCTGCCTTCAATCTTTCCCAGCATACGGGTATTTGCATCAGGTGGCCAAAGAATTGGAGCTTCAGCTTTAGCACCAGTCCTTCCAATCAATATTCAGGTTTGATTTCCTTTCGTATTGACTGATTTGATCTCCTTGCTGTCCAGCACCACAGTTCAAAAGCACCAAGTGATTTAAGCACTCTGGGCCTACTCCCTCCTCTGTGAAGTGGGCATAACACCTACCTTGTGAGGTTGTGTGAATTAAGAAAGTTGAATTTGAAGTTCCTTGTATAATGTTTATCCCATTTATCATGGCTAAGTAGCAACATAAAGATAATGTGTATGTGTGTGCACCTGAAACCAAGGGAAATAAATCCATGATGCCCAGGTTTTAAAGCCCTTGGAGCTGGGTTCTCACCTCCTGCTCAGTCACAAACTAAGGGAACCCATTGCTCTGGGAATGAAGCACTTTGAAAAGGTTTTTTGAATTATAGTATCATCGGATGGCATGTGTACAGTTGGGTTGGAGATGCTTACTGGCTGTGATATACTCTGTCCAGTTAGAACAGACAGATCACATCTTTTGATGGCAGAAGGAAATAGCAAATTAAAAAAAAAAATCATTCCTTTTTGAAGCACATTATGCCCTCCATCTGACATTGTTAATTGCTTTTTCTGTTGTAATCATGGCAACAATGGTTCCCATTTGTACCAGGGACCATACTAGTCACTCAATGTATATTTTCTCATTCTGATAGCAAGCTGGCAGTTAGATTCCAAAATGCCATTTTAAAGATAAGGCAACTGAGGCTATGCAGTCACATGGCTGCTATTTAGGGACTAATGCCCAGGTCAGTGCTCTTCCCGCCACTCATGCTGCTTCTAAGGCTGCCTGCATTTTGAAATTCTTCCTAAGTTTCTAGGCTTGGGAACAAAATGTCATATCAGGATTTTTGTTGTGAAAGGAAATGTAACTGTGCATACGTTTATTAAAGCAGTTTTTCTCCAAACAGTGAGCCATCTGTAACTTTCTGTCAGAAGCAACAGGCATTAAAGCAGCTGTGTCTCTGTTTCTCTCCGCAGTGCTCCCATGCCCTACCTCATAGGAATCCATGTAAGTTTACTGGAGGTAAGTTGACCTCTCTCCTCCCCGGTCGCTCTATGTGTGGCTTTGTTTGCCTCACGGCAGTGGAAAAGATGCAGTCTCTGGATTCACGGCGCTACCCATGGGAGTGTGTCAGAGCAACCCCTCATGCACAGAGCTGGGCGTTCAGCTTAGACCCCTTCCACTGGGCTCTTGTTTCCAGTGTTTTTCCACTTTGTTTGGAGATTGTCAATTTTCATGGGTGAGGGAGTGAAGTTCAAAGAGGCAGGAGGAAAGGGTCCTTCAAGGGTTTGAATGAGGGAAGGAAAATGATTCACTTTTCAAAATGATGTTTATTATAAATCACTGCAACTATGTTACATTTTTCTCTGTAGAAAATGTGGTATAGAAAATATATAGAAGTATAAAGAGGAAAATTAAAATTATCCACAGTATCATTATACCAGATTCATCTGTTAGCATTTTATTATTCTTCATCCTTGTCTTTATTCTGTGAATATATATTTTGTATAAATGTACTTAGCTGATATGATATAGAATTTTATGTCTTTATTTCAATTAACATTATGGCTTGGGGATTTCTGCATTTTCGTCTACTGTCAGTAATAATTTTTAATTTGCTACCTGTCCTTCCAACTGTTCGAATATGCCACAGCTTAGCCATTTTCCCGTTACTGTTGGACACTTATGCTGTTTATAATTTTTCACTATTATAAATAGCATTTCAGTGAACATCTTTATGCATAAGGCTTAATCTGCATCTTGACTTACTTCCTTAGCATAGAACCCCTAAAGTAGAAATGCTTGGTCAAAGCTATGAATCTAAGGACAGATTGCTTTCTGCATGGCTGTACCAAGTAGATAGCGATTCTTTTAAAGGACTTTTCTGTGCTTTTGTCACTGTTGCTGGTTTGTAGACACGAACCCTAAGCTTTTCCCTCCTCGGGAGAGAGCTGAATTTGCACTGGAGCAAAATAGGACAGGAGGCAGGGGACTTGCCTGTTTTGCACAGGAGATAAGCTCTCAGAGGGAAAAGCTAAAGCCATGTCCGTCTGTGATGATGCTTTGCATGTCTTAAAGGAAGTGCTACTTCTCTTCTTCTGTTCCCTTCATTTCACGTCGACGAGGACCACCTGCTTCTTCACTGTTGCACACTGTGCTATTGTGCTTACGAAAATGAAACAAGTTGGTTATCGAAAAACCTGTTTGTTTGACATTGAGAATCTTGATCAAAATAGACCACAGAAATCTGCTCAAATTTCTAATTTGACAGGACGGCCATGTGGCTCCTACATTCTGTTAACAGTTCCTCCTTGTCATCACCCAGCCCTGAACACATACAGTACACAGTTTATGGACTATCTTGGATGGTGTATTTAGATCAGATTGAAGAGATTTCTTCTGTGTTTTACCTTTGTTTGTCTAGTTTGGGGGTGTATTCAAAGCCCCTGTGTGAGAAATTGAAAGTGAATACTTGCTAATAGACCTTTCGTGCCAATTGTTGTACAGTTGGAAACACTAATCTAAAGACCATTTGGTCTATCAGCATCCACAGCTCTTTCCTGCCTCTTCTGCCTTCCGTACTGTTCCAGCACAGATTTTTTCTGACTGCTTTTCACGGTCCTTTACCTTGAGCATTGTCCAGGTTTCCAGTCTTGGTTTGCTTTTCTTCTCTATATACCCTCTGGCCATCTTTTTAAAGGCTTTTTGCTTTTGCTACCAAGGTGATGTCAGTGACTCCCAGCTGTGATTCTAACACTGACATGCCTCTCTCTGAACTTACAGCCCAGAGTTGCAAGTGCCAATTGAAGGTCACCGAGATGTACTGTCGATGTCTCAAATTCAGTTTTCCCCAAACCCCTTATTATCTGCACATACACACCCATCGAGTTACTCCACTCCCCTTCCACTGTTCCTGGTCCCTGTGAACGGCACCACTGGCTGAAAAGTCACAAGGGGACACACTGAGCCTGGCTGAGTGTCCGCTTCCGTGTTCTTTCTACACAATCACAAAGTCTCTGACGTGTCGCTCCCTCTGTTCCTTTCTCACTGCCTTTATAGATGTTTTACCTTGCTTTTTTAGATTTTTGCAAAGCCTTGTTTTTCATAAAGAAATCTAAATCAAGGCCTCTGTGTTCCAAACATTTTGCTAGGTCACAGAGGTATGAAGATGAGTATGAAATCCAATCCCTGGTTCAAACATTTAGGGGTTGCCCTCTGCCTAGTCACTCTGAGCTCAGTAGCCTGCCTTCCAGCCTCCTCTGCCCCACCCCTGGGTTCTGGTCAGTCTCCCTGCTGCTGTCAAGCCTTCTGTCCGCTTGCTGTCTCCTGTTACCCAGGGCTCTACCTGGTCCCTAACACGCCCACATCCGTGTGCCCCTGCACTGCTAAGCTTCCTCTTCCCCACCTGTTTGAGGAAGTCCTCCCATTTGACTGTTGTCTTTGCTTACTGTACCTCTTGCCCAGGATGACAGCTGTTGGCTTCCCTGTCCTCTCCATCGTCCCTAGGAGCAGGGGCTCTTTGGGAAAAAGGACTATGCTTTGTTCACTGTGGTGTCCTCAGTACCCAGCAGGATGCCCAACAGGTGCTTTCTGAAAAGAAGGATGGAGTAAGTGCATGGAAACCTGGAATTCAGAACACACTTAGAGCTCTCCAAAAGGCATTGCTGTTTTCAGGGAACCCAGCACCATAATTTTACTTAAAGATGGAGGGAGTCGATTTTTTTTTTAACCTTTTATATGATTGTAGTAATTGAAAACAAGGGGATTTTTTTGTAATAAAACATGCAGTGCACAATATGCATAATTTTGGAGCTAAAACTTGAGACAGAGTTTTGCACTTAGGTGAATGGTTCCAAGTTCACTCTCCTCAGCTTTTGAAGGGTTTTAAATGAGAAGGTTTGGGAAGCACTGGCCAAGATAAACCTTAGCCCTGTTGATTTAAATTAGGGAGGAGTTTGCCATGCTGTACTGATATGTGGTCAGAACTGAAAGAAAAACCAAAATAGTAGTTGCCCCACTCTTGAAGCCAGCTGAGACACCCTCCAGACAAAAACAGCATTGCCTGCATGTGAGGCAGCTGTGAACGCCCAAGTCAAGAGATGTAGTCTCCTGATCTGCCCTGGATTTCAGTTCGGACTCAGAGTGCTTTAGCCATGCTTTGTGATTGCCCTGATCTGGCTCTATTATACCTTCAAATGAGAGAGGTGCTTCCCTGAGACTTCTTCCAAGAGCTGTGGGCTATAATGCCTGGGGTGGAGCGTGTACCTGGGCCCAAAGGAAAGCTCTTTCAGGAAGGAGCTAGGCAGGGCCCATCTCCTCTCACACACTAGTTTTCTTACTGGCAATTCAGCAAAAGGCTTATTTTTTACTGTCTTGTTATTTTTTCTTGAAAGCTATAGGCACCTTATTATGCCTTTGCATATGTGCCAGAATTTTTTAAACTTCAAATGAATGTGGCAGATGTTCATAAAAGTTTAGAAAAAGCTACCATAGGAAGACTTTTTAACCATTTTTATGACACTCAAATTTGTTGCACAAAAAGAAATTTAAATTATAACCTAGTGTTCTCATTTGAAAAAAGGTTATTTGGGGAGAAGATATAATTCCAGCCTTCACACTCTTACAGGGTACCCTGTTTGCTAACTGGTAACATAGTCACCTAGAAGAGTCTGCCTTCCTTCTAAAGTGACAAGTTTCTAGCTGATCCTCATTCTTATCCCTCCACTGCCTTTTTATATCCTTTCTCTCATTTAAGCAAACACTAATTTGAGGCTGGTGGTAAGTTAGCAGGATAGCCAAGGGTATTGGCATAGACCTAGTTTCTTCTTGGAGAGAATGATCCTGTTAGCTGGCTAGGAAATACCAAAACGCAGCCAGATTACACAGTAACTATTTCCCTTCATTCCGTCGACCTCAGTTGAGTTCAGGAGATGCTCTGCAGCTCCTTCTCTGTGCCAGGTCTGGTAGCGGGGTGCTAGATCAGGTCTGATAGGTGTGTTCCTTCTCCTTTTTTGATAAATGAAGATCTTCCTTTCCAAGCCTCACCCAGAGTGCTCTGTATACAGGCCTCAGAGCATGAGGAATGCATGTAGAAGGTGTTTTTGTTTTTTGTTTTTTAATTCCTGGTGGTGGAATGGTCAAGAAGCAGGAAAGAAAGGTGATAGCAGTAACGCAGTGCAGACAGAGGCTCAGGTTAGCCTGAGGGTGTAGCTTCCCTTTCCACAGAGGCAGAAAAGTGTGGCAGTGGAAACGGGCTGTGGGTTCTGGCTTTCCTGTTCCCTCCTTGTTTGATCTTGGGCAAGGCGATGGACCTCTGCACCTGTTTTCTCGCCTGTAAAATAGGGACAGTGGCATGAGTTCAATGAAGGTCAGTAGCCGTTGCTATTTTTATTTCCTTAGTGGCCTTAAAGCCTTTTATGTTGAGTTGATGGCTTTGAAATTGTGTTTTAGGGACTCTTGGGTTCCAGGGACTATCATCTTCATTCCCTAGGGAAAGAATTTCAGTAGAATTGGCTTGTACCTGCCCTATTTTCTCCTGGTCAACAGTGCTGGAGACACTGTGCTGGGGATGGGAGTGGTACTTCATAAGAACTTGATAACTGGTCTGCCAATTCCCTGCTTGACCATTCCCCTCAGTAGTAATTTCAGTGTTAAGAGTGTGGCAAAGATTAAAGAAACGAGTTCCATGTATGTCCAGCGTATCCCAGGGTATGGCCTGTGGTCGGTACACAGTACACATCCCCTTCTGTAGAAATGTTTTGAGAGCCTTCTGTGTACTAGGCGTTGTATTGCACTAGGGGTTCTGTAAAATGGTGAATGTGACACAGCCTGCGCCTTCAGAGTTTTGTCTGGAACAGATGCAGACAAGGAGAAAGTAATTGGAGGGAGTCTGAGAAGCTGTAGGCTCTGCTAGAGAAGACAGCAGACTGAGCCTTGAGGGCTCTGCTTCTCAGAGGAAAGGAATGCCTGAATGGAAACTGAGCAGGTAAATTTGACTTCCACCAAGGGGACAGGGAGCATCA